GCCGCCCCGGCCTCCTCCCGACCTGGTCACAGCTGCTCCGGAGCGAATCCTCCGCCAGCTCTGCTCCGCTCTCGTCTTACGCCGCAAACCCCCCGGCGAGGTCTCTCTCTCTCACCGCCGCCGCCCCTTTTGCCAACCCGGAAATAGATCTGCTCCCACTGTCCTCAGCGTTCGCGAACAAAATGGAGGCGGGGGAAACAGGAGGAGGGAACTGGGAGCAAAAAGGCGGAGGACGCATGCGCGCGGGAAGCCCGCCCCCTGGCGGCGCACGGAAAGGCGGAAGCGGCCGGGCCGGCGGCCATCTTTGGAAGGTCGCCGCACCCTGCACCTGGAAGTGGCTTTGCGTCTTTGGCTGCAGTTGGAGCCACCTGGGCGTCTTTAAGCGACTAGCCATGCCGGAGTTCCGACCTCCACTGAGGCTCACTGGATGAGTCCAGTGCAGCTTAGGCACTGCGGCTTTTTCAAATTGCGCAGGTGGTTCGATCACGTTGCTGAGGTGGAGAAGCACCTGAACCGTGGTTTTTGCGTGTACGTCTTTTTCGTGGTTACCTTACCGCACGCACACGCACACCCTACCCCTTCAGTGCCCTTCCCGGGTCTCGGGGTGAGAAACGCACGCCTCAGCCTGCCAGGATCCGGCGGGCGAGCGGTGGTCGCCATGGCAACGGAGAGGCGCGGTGGGGGCGGCTCCGCAGTCCTGCTCCGGCCCTGAGTCCCCGGCCGCGCGTCCTTCTCTCCGGCGGCCCCCAGCTGCCGAGCTCGTGGCGGCGCAGGATCGGGCCCCCGTCCACGCACTGAAACACTTCGCCCCCGTGGCCGGCTCCATCGGTTTCTCTGTCCCCAGCGCTCTGGCGCGGCCCCATTCCTGGCGCTGACCTCGCAGGAAGGCATCGGGGTTGTAAGCACACGATTTGTGGCTGTGGTTCCACCGTGAGTGGTGCCACCCAAGATCGAGTAGATGTCGCCGTGCGACGCTGGCGGGGGCGGCCAGCCGCTGGGCTCCTCCGGTGACTAAGAGCGAGCCTCTACCCTCGGGGGACTTAACGTGTTGGTGGCAGACTGGCCTGTCGACAGCTACGTCAGCAGGTGACTAGTGCCTGCGAAGAGATACTTGGGATGTCGGCCCCCGGCGTGATTAAGTCCGCTATGGAATGAGAGGACCAGCCATGGTGGCCCGTGATTATAATCCCAGGGTAGGATAGTTCTACATTTTTAAAATGATTTGACGCACTGCTATAAAATCTATACATAGCTGTTCTTATGGATGGCTGGGTGTGGTCGTGCACACGTAATCCTAGTCCTCAGAGGCTGAGGCAGGATGATCGAAAGTTAGAATCCTGCCTGAGCAATTTAGCAAACTACCCAGACTTTGTTTCAACAATCAAGCAATAGGGCTGGGAATGTAGTTCAGTGGTATGGCACTGCTAGGTTCTACCCAGTACTGGAGAAGAAAAAAAAATCTACAGTTGAACCAGGTGTGGTGGTGTACATCAGTAATTCCAGCCGCTGTCCAAGCTGAGATAGGGTGACCATAGGTACCAGGCCAGCCTGGGCTACATAGCAAGACCCTGCCTCAAGAAAATGTTCAGGTGGCTCTTAGTATCTCATAATATATAGCTGTCATCACTCCCCTAAGTACAGAGTGCTTTTCTCAAGTGCTCTCCATCAGCACTTCCCCCAGCCCTCCTGCAGCCTCCTCCCTCTGTGGGTCTGCCTATTCTAAAAGCTTCACAGGTGGACTCATGCCTGTGTAGTGCCCTGGGCCATGATCTTAGCCCTCGGGATGCTGAGGCAGGAGGATTGCAGTGAGTTTGAGGCCAGCCTGTGCTACATAGAAGCAGACGTGGGCCAGGCGTAGTGGCACGCACCTGTGGTCCCAGGACTCAGGAGGCCGAGGTAGAGTTGTGCGTTGGAGACCAGGCTGGGTTACAAAATGAGCTCAAGGCCAGCCTGAGCTAAATAGCGAGACCCTGTCTCAAAACACACACACACACACACACAAAGTAATTTTTTTTTTTTTTGTCCTGGGAATCAAGTCTCAGGACCACGCACTTGCCAGGCAAACACTGCAGTGCTGAGTTATATCCCTGGCCCCTTCCCCTTCTTATGTACAAAATCTTTGTTTCCATTTTTTCTCCTTTAATTTTTTAATTTTTAGGGCCAGCCAAATAGCTCAGCGGATTAAAGTGCCTGCTTAGGCAGACACGGGCCGGGAGTTCAGTCTCCGGGCCTGCCATGCCAGCCGCTCCC